GAGCTGTGATGTCATAGCACTCTACCCAGGGCGACAGCTTGAGGCTCTGTCTCAAAACAACAACCAAAAAACCCACTTTAACTTAATTCCATCTACAAAATTCCCTTTAGCACATTGGTTCTAGAGATTAGGAGAGGGACATCTTTGGGAACTTATTCTATTTTCTATAACAGCCCAAGGTTTTCCCTCTTCTCTGAGACCTTTGTTGCTTCATTTGAAACACTTTAATCAGGACATTTGTCCCCTCACACTCTCATTACAATCTCTGGACACATTGGTATTCCTGCCCCCACTTCTCTGACTGGCTCTTGGTCAGCTGTGTGTCCAGAATTCATAGAACCTGGCTAGAATAATAAAAAAATCTTAAAACTTATGCCTGCAAATAATTATCTCCTATTATTTTCATCTGTTCCTCTGACTACTCTTTGGTCCCCGAACATTCTCTGTGATCCTAGATCTTTGCCATACTGTCTCCTGCCTTGCCCTCAACCAAGCCCTCCCTCTAGTCTCCCTCTATGTCCCCAGGTAAAATTTACCTCTCCCTCCTCTGAGGTCCTGATTCACCCATCTCTCCACTCATCCACTCACCTTTGATCCATCCATCTACCCACCAATCTATCTACTCATCCATCCACCCACCCACTATGCACCCATACACCCATCCATCTATCCATCCATTCACTCATCCATCCATCACCATTCATCAACCCATACATCCATCTACCTATGAACCCATCCATCCATGCATACATACAAACATACATCCACTCATCCATCCATCCATCCATCCACCCATCCATTCATCCACTTACTCATCCATCCATCTGTCCATTCCCTCCAGAGTGTAAGCATATGAAATCAGTGATTGGGGAAAGCTACTATGGCCAATATTTGCTGAGCATTTACTGTGTGCCAGATTCTGTGCTCACAAACTGGTGATTTAACCTTGATTAAGCCCCCAAGTCCCCACTTCATAGATGTGGAAACCAAGTTTGACGAAGTAAAGTGATATCTCTAGGGTCACAATACAGGGAGGTGGTGGATCAGAGACAGGGACACAGGTATCTGACTTCAGAGCATACAGTTTTCTGTTCATGTGGCAAGCATGAGCCACAGTTCCTGCCCTGGGATCTTCTCAAGGGACACACAATGTGCAGGTAATGTATCATGCCACATTGAGCTTGCAGATGGGAGAACCACAGCCATGGCCCCCAGCAAACTGCTAGGGTCCGATGAGACAAGGAGGTTTCTCAGCAGACACTGAGCTAGATTTATTCCAATGTGCCAAGTCCACAAGCCAAGAGAGATGAAGGACAGTGGCTATGAGATTCTGCACCCAAGATGCTGGCAGGGCCTCAAACTTAGGCTTCCCTGAGCTGTGTCCGGGTATGATGGAGCCAGTACACTCATCTTTGCCTTACTTCTGCTGCCTGATCCCTTTTAGGAAATGCTTTCCAGCCCCTTAGTTGATTGAGAATGTGGCCTCTATAGGTGGCTATGAGTTTGAGCTACTCCCACTCACAGTGGCTTAAACAATGGAGAGTTTACAGGGTCTCAGAACTGAAAAGTCAGGCTGGGCTGCCTTTCAGCACAGCTGGATCCAGGGTCTCAAATAGCAACCTCAAGAATATATCTTGGCCAGGTGTGGTGAATAACACCTGTCATCCCAGCACTGGGGGAGGCCAGGGTAGAAGAATCACTTGAGGCTTGGAATTGAAGATCAGCCTGGGCAACACAGTGAGACCCCAATTCTACAAAAGAATACAAAATTTAGCTACGTATGGTGGCCCATGCCTATAGTCCCAGCTACTCAGGAGGCTGAGGCAGGAGGATCATTTGAGCCCAGTAGTTGGAGGCTGCAATTATGACATCACTGCACTCAGCCTGGGCAGCAGAGCAAGACTGTCTCAGGGGAAAAAAAAAATCCATCTCTGGGGCGGCGCCTGTGGTTCAGTGAGTAGGGCACTGGCCCCATATACTGGTGGTGGGTTTGAACCCAGCCCCAGCCAAACTACAACGAAAAAATAACCCGGCGTTGTGGCAGGCACCTGTAATCCCAGCTACTTGGGAGGCTGATGCAAGAGAATTGCTTAAACCCAAGAGTTTGCTGTGAGCTGTGATGCCATGGCACTCTACTGAGGGCGACAAAGTGAGACTCTTGTCTCTAAAAAAAAAAAAAAATGCTCGGCACCTGTGGCTCAAGTGGCTAAGGTGCCAGTCACATACAACTAAGGTGGCGGGTTCGAATCCAGCCCGAGCCACCAAACAACAATGACAGCTGAAACCAAAACAAAAAACCAGCCAGGCGTTGTGGCGGGCGCCTGTGGTCGCAGCTACTTGGGAGGCCGAGGCAGGAGACTCTCTTGAGCCCAGAAGTTGGAGGTTGCTGTGAGCTGTGATGCCATAGCACTCTACCCAGGGGTACAGCTTGAGGCTCTGTCTCAAAAAATAAATAAATAAATAAAATGAGAATGGAGAAACTGGCAGAAGACAAATTAAAAAAAAAAAATCCATCTCTGGCCATCTCTTAGGCTCTCTCTGAGAACCACAGAAGCTCCAGATTCCCATTTCTCAGTTGAGCACACCCCTCAGATATCTCTGGAAGCCCTGGGACAGTGTGTCCTCAGACCGGCATGGTCACATCTCCATCCTTGCCCCTGGTTGGGAAGATCCCACTCCCATCTACCATTGCAACTCTCAGAAACTGTTGGGAAGGGCTCTTGACCAGTCTGGACTTGGACCCAAGCCCTGGGCCTGGCCCTGCCCTGGTTCATTGGCCAGCCTCTTCATCCTTTTCCAGTCTCAGCCCTGGGTAACACCCACCACACTTGCCCAGGCTGGAGTGCAGTGGTAGCCTCATAACTCACTGCAGCCTGGAACTCCTGGGCTCAAGTGAGCCTCCTGCTTCAGCCTCCTGAGTAGTTGGGACTATAGGTATGCACACCACAATGCCAGGATAATTTTTTAAACATTTTTTTCTTTAAGAGACAGGGTCACCAGGCATGGTGGCTCATGCCTGTAATCTTAGCACTCTGGGAGGTAGAGGCTGGTGGATTGCCTGAGCTCATGAGTTTGAGACCAGACTGAGACAGAGTGAGATCCTGTCTCTAAAATTAGCCAGGTGTTGCGGTGGGCACCTGTAGTCCCAGCTACTCAGTAGGCTGAGGCAAGAAAATCACTTGAGCCCGAGAGTCTGGGGTTGCTATGAGCTGTGATGTCATGGCACTCTACCAAAGGTGACAAAATGAGACTCTGTCTCAGAAGAAAATAATAATAGAAATAAAAATAAGAGACAGAGTCCTCACTATGTTGTCCAGGCTAGTCTCGAACTCCTGCCCTCAAGCTATCCTCCTGCCACAGCCTCCCAAAGTGTTGGGACTACATGCATGAGCCACTGCACCCAGCACTTCTCTTATAGTGACACATCACTAGATTTGGGGCTCATTCTATTTCAGGGTGATTTCATCTTGAGATTTTTAATTATAACTGCAAAAAATGTTTTTCCAAATAAGAAAACCCATTCACAGGTTCCAGGGGCCATATTTTATTCTTATGCACCCCTATGTCTCACAGACCAGGAGTTTGGACACAGGAGCAGCCCTGTCTTAGGGTGGGGGCCTCCTATTCAGGAGCCCAAAGGTGTTTGGCTCTGGTTGCTTCTTCTCTTGTATGAGCCCTGAAATTCCTACAGCCTCTGAACCCTAACCTCCTTCTGGAAGCTTCTAGGCCTCCTTTCCACATGGTCCTAGATTTCTTTCTTTCTTTTTTTTTTTTTTTCATACAGAGCCTCAAGCTACCCCCCTGGGTAGAGTGCTGTGGCACTACAGCTCACAGCAACCTCCAACTCCTGGGCTCAAGCGAGTCTCCTGCCTCTGCCTCCCAAGTTGCTGGGACCACAGGTGCCCAGCACAGCGCCTCGCTATTTTTTTTCCAGTTACAGCCATCATTGTTGTTTGGGGGGACCCAACTGGATTCGAACCCGCCACCTTAGGTGCATGTGGCTGGTGCCTTAGCCACTTGAGCCACAGGGGCCAAGCCATGGTCCTAGATTTCTTAGTGGGTTGTGTTCCAGGCCTGTCTTCAGGGCCCCACACCTCAGGCCAGCAGCCACCTCCAGCTCTTGCCTTGTCCCCAGAGGAGCCCTATGCCTCATGCATCTTGGGGCTTCAGTCCCTCCTCCAAATGTTGCTGGCACATGCTGTTGGCGGCTTAGCCTATGACCCTCTGTCCTCACCTCCTGAAGAGCTGTATCTGGTGGACACCTCATCTCTCAGGCATACTTCACCAGCTAGAAGGTATTGGGGTCAATTCTGGGAGGGTGATTTCCAGACCTCAGTCTCCCCATTCAACATAATTGACTGGTGAGCTGTTCAGACATACCAGAGAGCTGAGAAGATATCCCCAGAAAGGGAGGCCAGCGACTCTGCTTCTCCAATGGTCAGATGCCAGTTGGAATATGGGCAGCCTCAGAGACATCCCCACACACATCCAATCCCCTCACTGGTAACTGGCTGGGCAAAGGCCTAGACCCCGATATCTAAGTTTGAGGAACAGACCCGAGTGTCCTTCCTCTGAGGTCATCCTCCCAGGTGCTCACCCCCCCCCATACCATGCCAAAGACGTGTGTTCACATGTAGTAAAAAGACTTTATTAAGAAGGCTTTGAAGTCAAAAAATAAAACTCTTGATACAATTTTTTAACCCTTAAATCAGCTCAGCAAATATATAATCAGTAATTTAGCTGTGTAAGATTAAAGGTCCATTACTTTATTTAAAATAAAATATATTTTAGTTCTTAAAATTTATTCCATAAAGTACATATTTCCCTATAAATTCCCTACATATACACGAGGTAAAAAG